TATCTAAAATTATCTATTATCTAGAACTGTCGTTTTTGATTTTGATTACATAATTTAGCGCGGGGAAGGGGAGAAGACTCTCTCTAGTAGTAATTACTCGAAGATATATACAACCATATAAGATTGTCATCCTTTCTTCTACACTCCATATTTTTTGTGTTTCAGAACGTATGGTCATACAGACACTACTGAAATTTACTGGCGGCTTTAACGTTTTATCAATGACTAACATTACGTGATGAATAGTATAATACTAATAGTTTTTTATTTATATTTATTTGTTTATTAATTGTGGCATTAATTATTACAAGTGAAATATTAATCTTAAACCTTTTTTAAACTGCTTGTTTTTGATTATAGTTACATGATTTAAATACGAAAAATAAAAACTATATCTAATAAAAATTGCCGACATAATATAAAGGTAAGGTAAAAAATTACTAAAAATCATATATTATATAGGAAATGTTTATGTTAAAGTATCTATATACAGGGTGTTTCAGAATAAATTATCGTAAACAGGAGTACTTGTATATTTTAACTAATTAATAAGAAAAGCTAAAAATAATTTTTCTGTAAAAGTTCCAGGAAAATTATAATTAGACTTTTCCTAATAATTAGTTCAAATTTACAAATCCCCTAGTTTGATGGTACTTAATTCTGGAACACCCTGTGTTCATGTGAAGTCTAGACTTTAAAACTTTATTGTTAGTATTCTTGTTTTAAAACTTTTTTAATACTGTGATAATGTTAGTCGAGTAAATATATAAGATTTGGTCACTGGTATGTATTTCTACATATCATGTAATAGGGATATGGATAAGTTAAATTTGGCTATAAGGAAAACTGGAGGATATTCTTAAATGTTCTACCTGTACTTACATTTTTTTTTACATTTTGATATTTGCTACTAAAAATCTTCCCTATATGTATCACTATATTTTTTAATTTAATTATTTTTTAATTTATCTTGACTTTTATCATAATTCGATAAGTAGGTCCCTATTTAAGTTGGCTGATTTTTTCATTCAATTTGTTTTGATGTTGACATTTAAACTGTGATATTTTATTGCAGTTTTTTCTTACGGAATAGGTAATAGAAAAATTATATGTAATCACGTGTTCAGTAGTTTTTTACAACAATAAAAAACCATTTAGATTGAATAAAAGTTTTTTTTCTAATACCTAAGTGGAAAAATGTTCAACAAGACTTAGATAAATGAAATATAATATTCTTTTTACCCTTGTGTTGGTTTTAAAGGATAAAGCGCAAGCAATAAAAGTAACACAAAAAGGTTAAATTACTGACATCTGTTAGGGTCTTCATTGACACCTACAGGGCTTCGTATTAATGTACAAAACTGACCCCCTTTCACTCTTTAATCAATAGAAATTTAATAAAAAATCAATGACCCGAATAGAAGAACTTTAACGGGGTCCATTTAAATACCAGAGAATAATGCAAAAAAATCTAGAAAATGGTAGGTACACTTAATGCTGTCATTATACAGGGTGTTCAATAAGTACCGTACATTACTTCAGGAGCGTATTCTGGAGCTAAAATAAAGGTATTTTTGTCATATACACTATGTCTCAAAAATGCTTCGTTAAGGAAATAAAGGGTGTGAAAGTTTCATAATACAATTTTTTAAATATTTCCAAAACCACTTGAGATATTTTATTTAAATTTTTGCAGCTCTTGAGAGTTAACAACGTGTTTTACTGTAAACACAGTGGCTTTCGTTTAACCAGTGGCGTACGGACAAGGTAAACTTTCACACCCTGTATTTCCGTAACGAAGCATTTTTGAGACATAGTGTATATGACAAAAATACCTTTATTTTAACTCCAGAATACGCCCCTGAAGTTATGTACCGTACTTATCGAACATCCTGTATAATTAAATAATGTATATTATGAATTCATATTATTTATTTCGAAAAGGTGAATTTATTTAAAGTTTATAATAAAATATAAGTAGGTCGCTCTTTTTACAAAATATAAACATGTTTTTCAACAAAGGAACTGAAGCTTCATAGTTCGGTTATTTAATATTTGATTACATTGACTTATTAGTGATAATAGGTCTAATTAATCCATTATGAGAAACATATCACCTGTCAAGTTAAATGGTTAACGATGCTAAACATTGCAGCATCCATCTTGAGAACAAACTTTGAATATATTCTTAGTTGTAAATAAAACTGAACACTTTCTTCAATCATCTATTCAATAATAGGTAATGCATTTTAATTACTAATTAATAATTTAAATTAAATTAAAAGTCCACTTAGCTTAAACAAGCAAAGAAAACTACAGTCTGTTCGCTATACTTACGCGGGTTTCGGATTAACAAAATTATGCAAATTAGTCATTGACAACCAGTTCCAATAAGCCTCTTCCCAAAAAATTAGGTAAAATTGCCCTAATGGTCAGATTTAAATTAAAATAACATTAGGGTAGGTACTAAATTTGTTACAAATATTGCAGTTGAATTGATTCTTTGCAAGTGTTGACATTGTATGTATATAGTAAATTTAGTGGAAATTTTGAAAATGCCTAGACGTGTGTTAGATGTAGTGTACATAAGTATTTTACGGATGAAAAAGAAAATGGCGGTCCTTTAAAATCAGTAATGTCTGTACAATAACGCGTATGCGATGCTCTAGGAATTAGTGAAACCAAATTAAGAGGAGTATTACAAAATCACAATAGTGAACTGCCAAAAGAAGATCACCGCAAAACTCGCCCATCATTGAAAACGAAAGATATTCCAAATGGAAAGAAATTTGAAATTCGTGATACCATTTATCGAATGAGGGCCAACAAGGAACATATGACCTTAAATACAATTCTCTCGGAATTAATAGATAGAAAATTTGACGACATTGGCAGAACAAGTCTATGGCAAGTGATTCATAACTTGGGTTTAAAATTTCAAAAGGAGGATAACAGAAAGGCCCTTTGTCGTGCACAACTTTCTAAGAAAATATTCTAAATTTAAAGAAGAAGGGGCGAAAACATGGATATTTTCTAGGGGTGCAACCAAGAGAATATGGCAACATGATAACCTAAAGTCCATCAAACATACCGATGGAGAAGGGAAGCGACACATAATTTTACATGCAGGAGGGAAATCGGGTTTTATAGAAGGTGCTGATTTAATATTTTCATCTAAATCAAAATCCAGTGACTATCACGATAATATGAACACAGAAATGTTTGTAAAATGGTTGCATGAAAAACTTCTCCCAGGTTTAAGTGAGCCCAGCGTAATTATTTTAGACAATTCACCTTACCATTCTGAAGTATTAAACAAAAGTTCAACGAATTCTTGGACTGTTGATAAAATTAAAAATGGTTGACAAAGGAACATATAACATTTCCTCAATATATATTAAAATCAGAAAAATTACGCTTGGCAAATATACACGTAAAACCAAAAACCTTTGTTGTGGATCAGATTATTGAAAGTTACGTTCATCAAGTTTTACGTCTGCCACCGTATCATTGCCAGTTTATTCCCATCGAATATATATGAGGAATAGCAAAACAATATTATGACAAGCACATTGAGTCTAATGGTTATAGTGACGACGCAGTTCGGGAAACTTGGCGAAAAGCACTTTCAATTGCAACTCCAGAAGTGTGGCGGAACTGTATATCCAAGTGAGAGAAACTAATAGAAGATTGGTGGACTCGTGAAAATAAAATAAACGAAGAAGTCCAATCATAATAACAATTAATGGTGATGACCGTGACGATGATGACGATTATGATATTTTAGATAATAATGACTGATTTTCATTTTTGTTGGCAAGTTAAATTTTTTTATTTTTCATTTGAAATTCTCTACATGGAACAAATTTTTATGTTAGAAAATATTTTATTTGAGCTAAATAACCCTCTTATTATACATAGACCATATTTTATGTGTGAAGTGTAATATAAAATTATTATTAGGTTTATAATAGCCACATTAGACTCCATTAATAAAGAAGTTTAATTCTGCTCTCAATTATACAAAATATTCTCCATTATTATTTAAATAAAAAGTTGTACATTAAATTTCATTTCATTTAACCAGTTGATATTTCCCCAAAGAACAGGTCAATCTTTCGGGTACTTACCTGGAAATACTCATAAAATTTTTAATCCGAAACCCGCGTAAGTATAGCGAACAGACGTATGTATTTCGTGCAAACTTATTTTAAACCGCCAGGAACTTTGCTACTGATCAAAATCAGACCAGTGATAATGTAAACAAACCCTTTTTGCTTAAAATTAGGAGATCTAAATATAACCTGTAGCTGTTTTATATAATTTGGGACATCCTGTGTAATATATGACGTCTGAAATAGGAGTCTCAAATTAATAGTATTAATACCGTCAAACGGGGCTACTTTGACACCCTTTTAAGACATTTTTCAATACTACTCCGTCATTTATTAACCAAATGTTGTTAAATAAACGAGATTATAACAAATCTGGCCTACTGAATCCATTGCTGCATTCCAAATTGCTCTTAAAATAATAAATTTAAAGAAATAAAATAAAAATGGGTATGTCAATGTTACACGGTGTTTGAGGCTACTTTGAAATACCTGGTGAATTTAACTACAACTGCATTTTAAAGCGTCCCAGTGTCAAAGAAACCCCGTTGAAAAACGCGAAATTCAAAAATATGGCATACAAATTTAAGTATTTTTTTTTTTACAAAAAAAAACAAGTTTATTCGCCAAATATGTTTATTCAAGGCACTTTAAACAGGTAATTACAAAAATAAAACGTTCGTATTTTCTTAATCTTTAAATAAAACAAGAAACTCAAGAAAATAAATAACCAAATAAAATAAAAAACCGTTTGTACGTCAAAAACGGTAAAGATAAAAAACTAAGAAAACATTTCTTTCCTAACCTACCTACGTTTAACATTTAAATATGTAAAAAACGTTTGAAAATAGTAAAAAAATCCTTTTTAATCTAAGGATAAACCACAATTTAAGGATTAAAGGTTTTAAAATCCTCGCTGTTATCGGAAAATGGTTCATCCTGATCGTCGTCTGAGTCTTCGCAAGCAGGACACACATAAAATGGATCGGTGCTTTCTGAATTGCAAATACCACAAATCCACTTTTTGCACTGCACACATTCAATCCAGTCACCTCTTGCTCTGTAGTTTTTAAAAAGCGTGAGGCAAATGGCACATTTATCGTTTAAATCGCTTTTACCTCGCAAACTTGCTCTTGTTATGTTAATGGGACGACATTTAGGTTTCTTGGCTTTGTTTGTAACCACTTGTGATGGTATTCCCAATGTTTGCCACTGATCCTGTTTCTTCAAATTTAATAATCAGTTATCTGATGTACTCGTAAGTATGACTTACATTTTTTCCGGGGTTTATTTCGTTAAATGCTGCAGCAGTTCTTAAGGCACAACGATTTTCTGAACCATAAATAAACACCATCTGAATTCTTTCAGCCAAACTGTAGACCATGATGAACAGAAAATAAAAATTATACTCGTATTTCTTCAATCAGACAGTTCTGACTTTGCAGTACAACCTTGCACAAACGACAAAATTTTATACAAACATTGATAGGTAGGTACGTACCCGATAAATTCAATGCTATTTTTTATTCTCAGATAAGTGCTCCAAAATTTTAGAATGGAATTTGAAGTTTTTTTTGTTTACAAAAAAATGGAATGCATGTTGACCATCTAATGAAATAAAATATCATCTTAATAACAATAAAGAAGTTTGAAAATCGATTGTACTATCGTTTAGAAATAAATGGAATGAATTTTGAATTATCTGATCAAATAAAGTACCATTTTAACAAAATACAGTTTATTTTATTCGAATTCATGTTTTTGTTACACCCTGTATTGAATGGAAAAAAATTCTTGTACAGGTAAATACTACTAAATGAGACCTTTCATTTGAGGTATAACAAAAGGGGTAGTGCCGTTTGACATTTTAAAGTTGGGGTATGTCGCGCCAAAGGGGTGACTCACCCCTTCACTGAAATATGGTGGTACTAGTTCCCCCTAACTCTATAACGTTTGTGCCAAACGTTGTTTCTCCAACTTCTTTATTTTGCGAGATATTCGCATTGAATATTTTCAAATTGACACCCTGTATATAAATGGTTAACAGACAATTTATCGCCAATTTATTTTTCATTGGACAAAATTACTTCTAAATTCAAATATTTTGATTAAACGATGGAATTATTACATAAAAATAAATATATTTTACATTAATAAATATTATTTTAATTCTTCTAAAAGAATGAGGACATAACAAGATTTCTTCACGTGTATTTTCTAAAACATTTTATAAATATGTTTTCAAAACATCAACAATTGAGGAGAGTTTCAATAACCCGTATTATTTTCATTATACGATATTTGTACCTCTTATGTATAGTACCGATAATAATCGGTTATATTTATATGTCATGATATCAGTTTTCACCTTGTGTCTATATTTTGTTTTTGTTTATTTTATTTATAATTTTTAAACGACGCAATAGTATAGTTGAGGGCATGTAGATGAATCAGAATAATATCCATTAATAAATTCATAAATTTTGTTGCATTAGCTTTGTTACTGATTTAAAGCTCATTAAAGATAAGGACCCAAAAATATTAAAATTGAGTTACTGCACTATCTATTACCTAGTATATGTTCAATAAGAGGTAGTTTTGCTTCTAAATATCTTAGGTAGGTTCATCAGCACGAAGATGGGTTAAGTACTAAACTTTAACAACTAATAATGTAGTAACGGTACAAATTTTCCTTTTAAAAATACTTTTTTTGGCAATTTTTTGAGTTATATTATATTATGGAGGTCAATGCAGAAAAAAAGCAAAATAATATATGTAAACAAAAACAGGCAACACGACGAGACTCAACTAACGTATAAACAACAAATATTTTAAGTGACTACAATGTAATTGGAATACATATGAACAGTGACGTAGGTGGGCCAAAGGGCGACAGGGGTGAAGATTTTTTGGGGCGCCCATATCTCTGTGGGGGTCGCCAAAGGAGCTCTAAATGCAAAGGGCGTTTTATAGATATTATAATGTGAATTAGTTCTACAGCATTATACAGTGTGTCTTAATTATACACTGCGCTGCCTTGTTTAGATGATAAGTAAACGTAGTACTTATTTATGGGATAGTCGTGCACCATAGTCCAAAGCCAAAACTTATAACCTAGCTCTCTATGTACTTCCCGCATTTTGCATGCGTGGCTATCACTTTTCATTTTGGTGCCAAGTTGTGTACACACGTCAAATCGAAAATGTTTTAAATTTGAATAAAATATAGGAAAATATTATTCATAATCAAAAACATCGGACAACGACTCAAAATTGTGTCGTTTAAGTAAGAAGGTAAAAAACACTTCAGAAATAACAAACAAGCAGGAAGAAATCTTAAACATCGGGAGCGACTCTGCTGAAGAAAATCACCAACGTAAATAGCAGAATATTCAGAGATATGGAAAATTCAGTTTATACAGTTTTAGTTAACTGGCAGAAGAACCAGATGTAGTATTTATTTATCAATAGAAATATGCAAGTAGGTTAAAAATAAATGAATTGTTTTAGAATACAAAAGAAATTAGATACGGACGATGGTAAACTGGACATACGTTTTCTTTCTGATCACATTACATGTGATTCCAAATAGTGCCATAACTCAGTGAGAGTTTTATTTAAAACCCAGTACGGGTTGATAATAAATCCAATGCGGATTAAATAGACTTAGTGCGAGTCTAGGACCCAGTGCGAGTCTAGGACCCAGTGCGGGTCGCAGGTTCAGTGCAGCTACCCGATTTTGATTGACGTTTTTGGGACGTGACCCGTGACGTCCCGAGTGTACAATTTGAGCGATTCTAATTCCAACTTACGTTCGAGATGTCTCCAGTATATCTGTCAGATTCACTCGGGACCTAAAGAGGTAGCGTAACGTGAGGGAAATTAGTAAAAGTATGGTTAAGAAATTGGTTTGAATTAATATTTCTGTGTTGAAATTAAAAAAATGAGTTTTAAAATAAACCAAGAACATTTGTCTACAATTTTAAATATAATTTGTGAACACGAACATTTTGCAAGTGGCAGATTTTTTGTTTTTTAATTATTCCTGATTGTATTTTTATTTTTGTAGGAGTTATGTTTTATTTTAACCACATTAAAAAAAATTAGTAATTACAGAAGTAATTTATTTAGGAAATATAATTTTTTTATTTGTATATATATTTTTGATTATATACTGAATGTATACAGAATAGTCCCAATTTATAATACAATCAGTTATACAATGATAGAAAATAAGAAATGTTTAAAATTCAGAAATATGAAATGCCAGGGACTCAAAAATGAGGACAAAAATACTTCAAGATGTAGATGTATATGTATATACCAATCATATAAAACATTGACTACTGCAACACTGACGATAAAGCCTTAAAATATCACAGTGTCTAGGTACACGCTAACTTGTACGAAATTCAAAAAGTTATATACACGCGAAACGTCTTGACAGAGTAGGTGAGCTGTGTCTAGGCCGTTGGTGTTTATGCCGGTCAGCGTAGAAGTTGTTGCTTCGTTTTCTTGTTGTCATGGCATTATTATTATTTGTTCATGTATGTGAAATTTGCTTCTAAGGTTTATAAAATACTACTGCTAGTCACAGCGTAAATGAAAACAAACAAGACGCATTCACACAAACACCTCGCACCACAGCAATATGACGTTTCGCGTGTATATAATTTTTTGATTTGTGTACACTTTAGCGTGTACCTAGCAACAGCTTTAAAATAGGTACAAAAACTATTATTTATTATTTTATTAATTCTAAAAACTCAATAAGCCATGCGTCTGGTATATATTCTAAATTAAATTCTGTCTTCTACTCCGAAATACTTAATTAATTTCTCTTTTATTTCTTTCTTTCCAAATTTCATGGAAAACTGGCAACATATTCACTAAAAGGGTAATAATATTAATTATGTAATGCTTTTATGTTATGGAGTGGAAAATCAAACCAGAGACAAGAGACAACCAATTAAACCTTCAAAACAAACCATGCTGCATCATGCTTCATCGTAGTTTTCGTAGCCGTTACTGAAAAGATGATTAGAATCAAATTTTAGTTGGTACCGAAAAGGGTACCGACTTGCCTGACGAAGGGTAGGTAGCAAAACGAGACGTAACGTAACAACTAATTAGAATCGCGCTGTAGACCTGTTGAATCATAAAGGCAAAGAAGATACTAGTTTTTTGATAGCATCAAGATCAATCAAGGGCTTCTTGGATCACATTATACGAAATATGGGTTGTATGTCCATCTACAATTAAAAGAATCAGACGTTCCTTTGGTACGTGAGGTAAAAAATATTTTCTAAACCAATTCGCAAATATTATGGTCGTCATTCATACCTTATCCGAAGCGGCTATAGCAATTCTATCTAGTGGTTCAGGTTGTTCAGGTAACATCGACTCGATAACATTTTTTCCCTTGAAAATAATTAATAAATGCAATTTCTGGCCTGATGCTGAACAACATACTAACACTGTGGTATTTTCTCTGCCGCATGTAGATATAGTCCTTGTAGCTTTTGTACCCACTGCCCCAAGAACTTTTGTTTTTGAAGGGTCACTGGAGGAGGATGTTTCGTCGCAGTTGAATATTTGTTCAGGTGGATCCTGTAACTTTGAGTTTAAAATTGTTTCTTCTAGAAGATCAAAGAAACCGTACATTGTCCAAGGGCTTTCTTGCTTTTTTATTGCCTCTACTCCTTGAGCTTTTTTGAATTTTGTAATATTTAAATTTCTATTCTTCAAATATAACTGCACTAAGTCCAACGTCTCTTGGCGTGAAAGCCCATATCCCCACTTTTGCATTGTATTTAATGTAGAAACTAGTTGCCCTTCCGCTTCTTTAGTTAAAGCATTTTTTCCTCCTCCTCCGTGTCCTTCTTTAGCCAAAATACCAGTTCCTCTTGTACCTTTAATATAATGTCGTAAGGTTGACTTGGGAATGTTATACAATTTTGCTGCGGCGTACATGGATTTATTACTATTTTTAACGTCCTCGGCAGCATGAATAAGAGCTTCTCGGGAATATCGTTTTTTGGGTACGACGCTGGTAATTACGCACCATTATGTCCTAAAAATTTTAGTACTGTCACTTGTATGTACGTTTATTATTTGCAGTAGGATAAAATAGAAGATAAACGTTAAAATATCAAACTAACAGATACAATACAACTGCATTGGGTAAGTGAAACCTACAGACCCAGTTACCCGAAAATTTAAGTTCCAGTTGCCTCATCATATCGAATTTACCAAGACAACTGGAACCTATACAGTCAAACTTGTTTTCATTAATATAAACTTAAAATATTAAAATGAATTACACTATAGATGCTTTTTCTTATACCAGGCCGATTTTCATGTTAAAAAATGTATTATTGTACTTACTGCGATTTTTTTAATACGTCAGTGCCTAACGTTTTATTTTTCTACCAAAAAAATACTTTAACATTAATATTTTCGTTACGATACTCACAGCAAGAACTTAAAAACTAGATGCAACGGAAGCTATATGGGATGTTATAAAGTTTAAAATATTGGATTACAAAATTAGAAGTATAGGTTCCAGTTAACCAACTTGATCTTACTTTATATGGGATTCCATATAGGCCATAACTCAGTCCAAATTTTTAAATATGGCGGACGGTGGTAAACTGGACATACTTTTTTTTTCAAATCACATTAGGTACCATACTTGGGATTCCAAGTAGAGCCATAACTCGGTGCGAGTTTTTTATAGAACCCAGTTCGAGTTTATAACATTAAATAAACTCCATATACAATGTGGACCTGTTAAATTACTAAGACAATAAGATTCTGTTTTTTATAGTGTTGACAAACATCTAAACAATTTTTATATTAGGGATGTAGGTAAATTGGACATACTTTTTTCTTTCGAATCGATTTAATTTACATGATTCCAGATAGTGCCATAATTCAGTGTGAGTTTTATCATGAACCCAGTGAGACTGTCCCAGATTTAGTGTGGACTAGCTAAATCACTAAAGTGAAGAAGATACTGGTTTTTTGTCAAACATATAGAAACAGTTTATATGAAGGCTAAGATATTGCTATGTTCAGTTACTTACATCCAACAATTTGTGAATTGTAATTATTTGTATTTTATAGTTCTACTTTGAGTTTTCTTTTTAAGGCTTAAATCAAAAAGAAGACTCTCTTAATGAAACTGAAGGACGATTGCTAAATTAAAATATACATTAAATTTTGGGCAACAGACTCAATATGGAGGAGTACTGATGGAGATATTCAGAGAGGTAGTTGCCTCATGACTAGACATCGTGGGTTCAGGACTAGATATATTTACAAATCATGGCTCGTTTCCATATATTGTTAAATTGCCCTTTGATAACTCCATTCAAAGTCAACCCAGAGACAGACATCAGATACCAATACAGCTCTTAAATGTGGTTAAAGTCTTTACAGACCAAGTTAGGGCTTAGTATATCCTTACTTGGTAAGACCCTCTTCTTAATTGTTCGTTGAGAGAAAGATGTTGAAGGGACGCTAACAATTGTGGAACTGTTTCCCGTCTCCTATGCGATACTCATTGGCAGTATTCTGAAACTAGAAGAAATCTTCTCACATTAGAATTTAAAAGTGACTTCATTGGAGCAATAGGAGAGGCTAAGTTGGTAGCAAAGCAAATCTGCTCTAGCTATGAAGCGGTCAGGTGAAGATTTGAAGCAGATGCCTAAGTTAAAAGTACCAAGTAAGATTTTAAAATTCTCAAGTTACCCCAGAAGTACTAATGCACAGGGGTACACCAAGAGACACCTTGGAAAAAGCCTAAGAGACACCTTGGAGAAAACCTCAGAGACATCAATATCAACCCAAACAGAGCCACTCACACAACAGAATTCGTCTTCTTAAGTGAAAGCAAGTGTACTAGCAGGAAATCTAAGTAAACACTGGAGAGATATCCCTGACCATCCGTTTGTAAGGTCTTATGGATTAAAGGTTACTCCTTAAATTTTATCTTGCGTAGATAGTTGATGGCATATGAAAAACTTCATTAATATTAGGAAAAAAAAAGAAATTCTTCATAAAAAGTCGAGCATGGTCTAAAACCTAAAATACAACCATCGGATATCAAATTTTATCGGTCGTATACTAGGTTTGTCAAAAATAAAGGTACTTTACTTTAGCTGAATAACAACTAGGTGCAAAACAAACACATGAACAAAAACTTCAACCCGACAAAAAGTTTTAATATGACATAAAATAGGGCTTGTTAATTTAACCCCCTTATAAAATAATGGTAATACTGAAAAAATACCCATAATTTCCTTTTCAAAAGTGTCCATATTCTTAAAAATTTCAACTTTCTACGTTAATGCGGATAAAAACAATAATTAACAACTTTATTATATTTTCATTTTTTGATATATCTTAAAAATGTTATTACAGGACCGACCCCTCATAATTTTCCATGAGGAATGCTGTCCTGAATTTTTTTGCATAAATTTAGAAACACCCTTAATATTTACACAGTACTGGGGTCTTCATAACCTACTGCATCAACAGCTATCCCATTCAAAGATATTTTCAAAATGAACTATTTTTTTATTCAAATTAGCATTATGTAAGGCGTTGCTCTTAAACATTAACTAAGAATAATTTCCGGTATCAAACAAATAACAATCTTATATAATATAAAATAATTTTGCGCAAAATATTATATTACAATTTACAAATATGTGGTCATTCACCCATCTAAGAGCAACGGAATCATGTAGACACGTCCTAAACATACGTTAGCATTTTTCATTTGACACCAATTTCATTAAAAAATAACTACTCCATTTTGTTTCATTGTGTATCTTCAGAAAGGTAATGAACCTACGTCGATTGCCAAATCATTTCGTTGTTTTTATTTACGAAGAATATTGTGAAAATATTATTTAAAATTGTTCTAAACGAAAACAGACTATAGTGTATACAAGTATAAGTATAATTTATAATTTTATTCTGGTTGTAGATCTATTGAACATGTTATTATATTAGTATATTATAATTAGCTTTATTTGCATATAAATCTTTCCATAAAATGTTGATAGGCTTCTTCCTTTTATGTGATTAAAGTTATTTCTTGCGACTACCGTAGTAGATCTGCATCTTGTGAGCAGCACACATTTTTCTTAGGACATAACCTCTACCAGGCAGCTGGCTTATGCAGAAACGGGCTCAGGTGATTTTTTTTAAGTTGCAATTGTTGACTTCTTGAACAATAGGTATAGTGTCCATATAGGGTATAAGGTCTTTTCTTTGAAACGAATGCATGTATAATTATGAAATTGTAATTCTAATTTGCATTTTTTAGACTACATGTCAAACTTATGTGACGTCAATGTTTAGTGTACCGCCGCCATCTTGATTTTTTTAAACAGCAACGTACGTCGGGTAATATATCACAAAGAAGCTTATTTTTCCTCTTTTCATGAATACAAAAAAAGTTCCACATTGCTAATGTAATACAGTCTTTTTCACTACCCTAAAATACCTTTTTTCTACATTTTTACGCTACCCAGAAAAAAAAACAATAAAAATGTAACACACATTTAAAATAAACATAAAAAAAAAGATTTAATTTAATTATTCCCCAGCCCAGATAAATCCGGGGCTCTCGCGTGGATGACAGAAGCCGTGTCCTCACGTCCACCGCCACATTTAGGATTTTAGTTTTAATACTTATAATAAGTTTTTGATAACTGTGGGGGGGTTCCATCAAGAAAGTGAATAAAAACAAATAGTCAATAGCGATCAGCGCCAATACTATAACGGAAATGAAGACACGAGGACCCACCATGGGGGTTCTGACCCCCAACCCCTCCCCCCCCCACTGCTTATAATTAAATTAGTTTCATATAGTTTTATTAAAATGAACGAAATTATAATTATAATAAATAATAATTATAATTATAGACGAAATAAAAATAGAACTGCTATTATTGGTAGATTTCATATTTTTTGCAGTATTCTGACTATTTAGAATGGATTTTTTTTATTAAAAAACGCTCCAAAAGGGGCGTTTATTAATATTACAATCTGATCAAGAGTTGATCAATGAGTAATTTTGTTATAACCTAACTTAACTAGGGTTGTAATCTTAAGAACTAAATTTCTACTCGCTAGTATATCTTAGGGTATAATAACTTAATTACACTGAACTAACGTGTAACACTAAACCGCACAATGATTTGCTTTGTTATTAATACAATCACTTGGCTAACCCAAAAGGTTTTATTCTCTTGAGTCTTCTTATCAGGTTCGTGTTGTCAAGAAGCTGGTGAGCCTCAACGTTCACATGTTGGTGGAGCCGTTGTTCATGATTCCTAGCAAATCTCCTACCAAGGAGCATCGACAATGTTCCTCAATACCTTGTTCTGGAATCTCTGGAATATTAGAATATTACTGTAGCTGGCCCAACTCCAGAGCTAAATGCCATATGTCCAAATTGGTTTGAGAACTTGTTTATACAATAGAATTTTGTTTTATGTAGATGCTTACCAAGTAACCAGTACATTTTCTTGAATTTTATATCTAACTCTTGTCTTTTCTTTCTAACATGGACCTTCCAGCGAAGTCTTGCATCTAATGTAATACCTAGATATTTTGCCAACTTAGCATAAGGAACCTGAGCATTATTTATGTTAATTGGTATTCTTTGACAATTTTTGTTAGTAAAATTAATATTAACAGATTTGGTTTCGTTTACGCCATCTTTTAGTCCAATTATTTATTTGATTAACTGATGTTTGTAGTTTATTTGCAGCCTCTTCATGATCTTTGCCTATCGCTAGGATGGTAATATCATCTGCAAATGTAGCTATTGTGTTTTCTTCTAGTTGAGGTATCTATCTGAAATGTATGAATCCAATAGCTCTGAATATGGTTGTGGAAGTAGCACATTCCGTTTATGTTTTAAGCCATCATGCCATACTTTATCAAAAGCCTGCGCAACATCGAGGAAGATGTCTGAACAGACTTTTTTGTTTTCTTATACTTTTTCAATCGCATTAGAGATTCTATGATTCTATAGTTGAATGGTTTTCTCTAAAGCCGAACTGGTAATCTGGAATTAGTTTTCTTTCTTCAATGATGGGTTTCAGTCTTTTTATTCGTATTTTTTCAAATAGTTTCGATATTATTGGCCTATATGACGAAACTTCGTTCGAAGGTTTTCCTGGTTTGGGGATCGTAATGACTTCAGCTACTTTCCACAATCTAGGGACATACCTTAGTTTGAATGAGGCATTAAACAGGTGTGTAAGTTTAATTATGGCTTTCTTCGGAAGGTTTTAAGATTTCTCCTGTAATTAAATCAAAGCTTTCTTAGGATTAATATTTGTTTTTATATCTTCTGCAGTTTCGTTTAGAGAGGTTGGTCTGATAATTGAGTCATCTCTCTCTAGAGGAGCCCAGTTCGGTAATTCTTGTTTTTCATTTGGTTGAAAATGCACTGTGAATCTATTAACTTTTTGAACATTATTTCTAGTCCAGCTACCATCTGTATTCCTGATTGGAGCATTCTGCACAATGGGCCTTTTTAATCGCTGTATCTAGAATGGATATGAAATAATTATATTCCTTCAGTTGAACGCAATAGCATACTTTTTCGTTTTGTAGTCTGTGCGTAATAAGCTAATGATGTGGGTTTAAAAAAATAATAAACTACCTCCCTTCACACTTTCATCTAGACTTAGGACTGACAAAGTTTATGCATAATAAAAACTTTGGTGTTTTTTGTTTCTTTTTTAAGTTTTCTTATTTTTTTATATTTTATAAAAGTTCTCTTTTTATATAATAAAATACAGCACTGAAAACTGTCTATTGCATAACTGGATCTTAAATTAGAGAATTAAATTGAAGCAAAGGAAAATTAATGGTAGATAAAGTGAGTTATTCGAGTTGGCTTGGAGAAATTGCTTGAAAAGTGATCTGCAGAAGCTTGAACAATTGCCTGTTGATCTTCTATATAGTCATTATTATATTCAACAATGGTTGGTATGGAATAGGAAGAATTTTTAGAATTTAAATATGACCAGAATTGTTTCGTATCATTTTTAATATTATTTTCAATTGATCTTAAATATGAGGAGTGAGCTATAAAAATGTCTTGTTTAATTTGGTCTAGAAGGTTCTTAAATTTAATAAATGCATCTACGAGACAAGCTGATTTGTAGGTTTGTCGGGCTTCTTCGTTTTGACAAATCATGCGTATTATATGACCATTAAATCAAGGAGGGTAGGTCCTAAGGTGAGGTTTTTTTACCAGGTATATGCTTTTATTAAAAGTAATAAACAATTTATTGTTCAATAATTGAACACTTTCATCAACACTGCTTGCAGAATCAAGAAAAGTCCAAATGATATTGAGTAGTGCGTTGTATAATTTTGGAAAATCTGATTTTTTGTAATTATACTGCACATGATCTGGTGTACACTGTAAGCTCTTAATGGGGACATTTATACACAAATAGAGGTGCCACTCATCTTCATCTAAGACTACTTCATCGGCTTTATATACATGACATGCTGGATTGGAGAAAATTAGGTCAAACAGACGATGATATGTGTTTTCTATTAAACTGAATTAATTTAAGTTGAAAAAATTCGCAAATGATTGTACGACGTTTAACCTAGACAAAGAGCTAGAATTGTTTATTTGAGAAATATACCCTGGAAAATTGAAATCTCCTAGTACTACAAGATAATTAACATATTAAAGAATATTTAGTAATGATATCGCCTCAAACACAGCCTCATAGTCATCAGCAGAACAAGCTGGTGGTATGTATATGAGTAAAATAAAGGTATACTGATAGTGGGGTATAATTTTCATGAGAAGAAAATCAATTTTATATACTGGAATAGAGCTACAAACATCAGATGTATCTATAAGAACCGCATTTAATTCATTTTTAAGGGCACAATGGGCACATTGCTGGGTTTGTCGTCTGTCTACATATAGATGAGCCGCTGAGAACCAAAGTGGTATATGTTCCATTTTTAACGATTTGAGAAATCTTGACATTTGCGTTTTAGCCATCCATAAATTATCAGATTGTTTTTTTGGAAAAAAATTTGATACGTTCATTCAATATAATATGTCGAATTTCCTACTAAACCAAAATTAATGACTGCTATTCTTTCGAATGGCATAAAATTACGTTCTTATAATTAAATACCGTTTTTCCGCGTGACCTTCAGGCGAAAGCACAGGAAAAGTGGTACAAGTCAATGACTTATACCACTTTTCACAAAACATATTTTAGTTCTGTTTCCTCAAACTGGGTTTGCTTGATGAGTTTGAACTGGTAATAATAGAAAAACAATTTTGTAAATTGTTTATTCAAAAATTCAATAATTCTGTGATGAATAACATAAAATTTACTCGTCGTCGCTTTCTTCGCCATAATCAGACAGAGGGCCAGCGTCTGCGACATCTTCAGAAGACCTTAAATTACGGTAATACTCATGGTGGTTTGGTGGAATCCATTGCAGCAGTTCCAGCATGTCTCTTTTTTTTGCCGGTGGTACTGGTCTTGGGGCATCGTATAGAAGTTTTAGGTTAGCTGGAAGCTGCGAACAGGGTCTTCCTCTAGTCCGTTTGCTTAAATCGACTTCAGAGAAAGTTACTAGCGAGCTGAGAGTCTCTTTGTATAGCAATGAGTGTGGCTTGTTATGTTTAAACTGTAACCATTGGATATTCAGCCACAGGAATCTGCCTTTGTCTACATTTACTTTTCTTTTAGTAATAGACTTTTC